TTTACACCAGCCCTGTTAATAAAGATTATCAAATAATTAAGATGAAAAATGTCAATATGGTTAAAGTGGATTTCAGTGCTTAATATTTTCAAATGTGAATCTTACAATTTTCAGTTCAAGCAAACTGTATGCCGTATAATTGTCGGTCTTAAAACACAGCTCCTAACTAAATAGTAAGTAATATCACAATTACATTTACAAAGCAATTTAATAAATCGGTGCTATCAAGCATTTTTTTAATTCTGTGAAATAACTTATTGCGAAAAATATTACCTCAATCAGAATTTAATCTTAGAACTCTCTGTTCTTATTGTTCTACTACCAAAACATGTGATATTTCTCGCAATAACTAGTATATTTAGAAATAACGTCTTTCAACGACGACGTATAGACAAATAATTATTAATCTGAATGGATCATGGAATGTTTCAAATAAGTAAAATGACTGACGTCAGTAAAGTCACAGTAAATCTTGATGCTTAATAATATGTTTAAATGTGAATCTTACAATCTTTAATTTAAGCAAATTAGTGCAGAATAAGTGGCATATTCTATCTACAAATCAAACATAAATGTAAAACTATAATGTACAACTATATAAATATATTAATTAATTACCTATTTTCCATCGCTCATGATCTGCTTTAACGAGATCAATTTTATTAAATAAATTTTCTCGTAATTCATTCACGTTATCTGAATCAGGAAATCTGCCAGCGATACCAGAAATAACAATCTCCTCTGAGTCAATACCGTTCCACGATGTACATGCTTCTGTGCCATTCATGATTTGTAATTATTTTTTCAAATTATCTAGAAATGAAGTAAGTTTATGTGTATTTTATACAATTAATTTTTTAAATTATTTTATACTTGTCAATTGTCAATTGGTTCTAATTGTTCTTAACACTGTGACATCTTTTGAATTGAGAATTAGAAGTAATTCTACTTACTTTAACAGGTAGAATTACTTCTCATTCTCAATTCAAACAATTTCACAGTGTTACGAACAATTAGAACCAGTTAACAATTGACAAGTATGAAATAATTAAAAAAATTAAATGTATAAAATACACAGAGACTTACTTTATTCCTCAGATTCTTCGTTAACAAACACCAATTCAAACTATTGTGGCTTTTACAAAGTAGACTCTTGCGTTTTTATATCTATTGTCACCCTATTTATTATTCATCTTATAATATTATTCATCTATTAATATTCTTTTGTAATATTGCAGTTCAAAGTATTTCCGTTTAAATAGAAATAGAAATAAAGAGGGAAAAG